TGCACCTCATGCCTGTACCTGCCTCATCCTGCCACTGCTTGTTCCCTGTGCCTGACCCCTGCCATATGCTCTCCCTCACACCTGTGTCTGTCCTTCCCTACCCACCTTCCTTCCCCATCACTTACCTTCTGCTGCAGCTCCAGCTCCGGAGCAGTCGGCAGCAGCAGTGGCCCCAACCTGGTGCCAGCCTTGTCCAGCCAGGGAGAAGTCCTTGTCCAGCCAGGGAGGATTAGTGGCAGCTGTGGCCCTGGGCTGGAGGGACCGGAGCCAGAGCAGAAGGTAAGGGAGGATGGGAGAGAAGCTGGGGGTGGGAAGGGGGCAGGCTACATGGTCTCCCTCATCTCCTCACCCACCAAATGAGCCATCTTGGCATGGGGCAGGCAATGGTTCAGCTCCAGCTTTGGCTCTGGGGCTAGGGTTGAAGCCCGAGTTGAGCCCTGCTTGCCCTGGGCCAGTACTTGAATCTAAGGTCTAGCTTTTTTCCCCCTATGCTTACTGGGGGCGGAAAAACCTTGTCTTGTATTCTAGTAAATACAGCGTGCATGTGATATACCAGTGATACCTTTGGATAGTGTTATGTTCAGAAATGTGCATTGTGGTTATTTTAACTTATTTAGGATATTGCCAATCAAAAGCAAGCACTACAGGGTAATCATACTATACTTTACCTTACTGAATCCTGATACTGATGAGCCATACACCTATTTACAAACGACTTTTGACAGTCTTTGCTCAGACCTGGTATAACAACATCAGTGTCCAGGATAATCACTTACCTTGTTAATATTTGATCCACTTGAGATTTTTTAAAAAAATTATACTATTTTAAAATCTCTTAAAGGAATTACACTCTTGGTGAAAGTGAAAACATGTTAGGTGGAATATTTTTCTTGATATACTATATCATGTATTATTGGCAACCCTCCCCCCCATATTCTTGACTGAAATAGGTGGGATTATTTTTAATTGATAAGCTGTGTCCCTGTTGTTTAATGGCAGAAGTTTTAAAAATGTGCACTTTTTTGTGGTTGAGTGTAACTTCTGACTCAACTGATTTAGGTAGGAGCAATCTTTTTCCAAATAAGAATTTAATTGAAGCTAGTATCTGTGCTTGTCCTGGGCCTCTTTAGTGTTTAGATGATAGGAAAAATAAAGGTTAGTTAAAGTAATTCATCGTAAGTATAATTATCTAAAGAAATCGGCTTGTTTGAAAATTTTGAATCCTGATGAAAATTTTGACTTTACTTCCAGTTTGGACTTGTGATCTCTACTGAAGTCCAGTAGTAGTATACTGATGTGAGATCAGAATTGGACCATTGTTGCTTAAGGCATTGCCTTGACATCGTCACCCATTGTCAGCTTCCTTAATGGTTATATGTTGTCATCTCTGGCAAAAATGTTGGCAGTTCACTGGCAAAGCTGCACTGTTGAGCACCAGTGATGTTGCTGTAAAAGCAGACCTTACTTTTTTTCCCCCTTGATTCTTTAAGCCTGAACCTTTGTTATATCTAACAGAATGAAAATTGAGGCTTTCACTAAGGCTTTCAGACTATTGAGGCTTTCTGACAATAGCCAACAAATCAAAATTAAAACTCGGCTTCTTCTCTCTTAAGAAATGTTTTCTTTTTCTCTTGGCATTTTCTTTTCATGAGTCAAGTCCTAACGAAAAAAGGCAGCTTCTAGTTTTAACATGTATTAGCAGGTTCAGGCTTAGGTGGAGTCCCTACTAGTCTATATCTTAAGTCATTAACTTGTGTTAGAACTTTTTTCCTAAAGATGATTTGCCTGTTAAAAGGTACAACATGCCTGCAAATGCACCAATTATGTATTTATAGGTAGTACTACCAAAACACATTACATGGAAACAGTTGACAAAAAATCTGTTGCTCACTCCCAAGCATTTGAAGACTGAAAGCAGTTAAGTTTCTGGAGGTTTTTTTGATGCACAAGGATTTTTTAAAGCCCAATTGTAATATTCGTATGTTAATCTCCCATGTATTGATGGTGAAAGTAGAAGCAACAGCATCCAAACTAAGACCACGGACATTCTGTGCCATAAGAAAATATAGTACAAAGGAAATTACAAAATGTTTTCAGAATTTGAGCTCTTAAATTTAAACTAATAAATAAATATATAAAAAGCATAGAAGAGCTTGAGAAGAGAAAAATATCACCAATTTATTGAAGTTATTTCAAACTAATTTGGTAACAGTTATTCTTTGCTGTTTTTTTTTACTCTATCTACTTGTTAAAGTTTAGCATGAGATAATATATATGGGTGCCTACACATGAGCAGCGAGGCTGCTTCAACATGCTGTAATTACTGCACATTGGAGCAAGCTCACCGTAACTATCATGCTCCAGCAGTCTCCAGCATCTTGTGTATCAGCATCTCTGCACTTAAAAACGGCAGCGTGAGTGCTTTAACTAAAGCTCATTGAACAAGCTTTAGTTAAAGCAACTGTGCCGCCATTTTTAAGTGCAGGGATGCTGGTACACGAGATGCTTCAGGCGCTTTAATTAGAACTGCCCTCAGAGCCACTCCGATTAAAATGCCCTCCTCCCCCTCCTCTCCCCACCCAGAGCACCTGTATAAATGCTTCATGTGCCCGAAAGCATGCAAAGAACAGTTTCCTAACTATTGAGTTGGTCTAGCAAAAGATAACACATTTACCCAAATAACCTTGTCTGGGCTAATATATATGGTTTTGAGATGAATGTTGTCTCAGTTACAATTAATTAGCATTTTGCCATCAGCTGTGGCACTGTGAAGTTTTTACCCCAGTTTTTTCAGAAAGTCTAAGAAATGTCTTTCACTTTGACGTCCATCACTAGCACTTCAGGTACAATTTTTGTGGGGTATGAACATTTTCAAAATACCAAATAATGCCACAACTTTTTATAGAAAAGCATGAGCATGGACATAGTATTAATACTTATGGATGTCCAAAAATAGTCCATTGGAAAATAAACTGCGTAGTGTATTCAAATAGATTTACAAAGCCTTTAGTCAATGTCTGTTTCCTAAAGCTGGCACGTAAAATAGATGCTGTCGTGCAAGACTTGCTCGTCTGAGTTTTCCAAGAGTTCTAGTGATTAAATCTATTTCAGTTGTGCTTCCTCAATGGGGTTTACACCAGCAAAGTGAAATTGAGCTTTTCGTACTGCTGGGAAAGTACTGGTTCTTCCTGCAGTGTGTTGCAGAGGGCAGGAAGGACAAATGGGGAAAGGAAGTGGTTAACATTAAGTAGACACATCTCTTACTTTAAAAGGCCACATTCTCTCTTGAATAAATCCATGCAGGAATCAACTAAATGTTTATATTCTTTTTCATTTTAACTCATTGTGAGCAAAGTCAACAAGAATACTAGAAGAAAACAAGTAAGCAGTAGTGTCGTTCCTCACCCCCGAATCTGTCACAGTACATATTAGATGAAGCATTCATTTGTCTAATGTTATATTATTTCCAGGTTTCTTGCTTTTTGCATCTTCACATATTAGGGACTTTTGCTTTCAGATAGGTTTCACTACTTTTATTACTATAACTTGTTATTACTGTATCTTGATACAGAATATTCTACTTTCTCAGGAAAGCTGTGTTTATCAAGCTGACTGAGTCATCAAGCTAATAAGGGGGTGAGGAGGTGTTAAAAACTTCTCCTTACCTACAACAAAGTTATCTTGTTTCCTTCCTGGTCTTTTGAATCCATAAATCAGTAGTATACCTTTCTCTGTTTCTTTTTTTCTTTTTGCTTTCTTTATAGTGTGTTTGTTATTCTTTTCAAAGCAGCAGGCATCTTACAATTTAAAACAAGTAACTTGATAATTAACTCCTGAATTTCTGTGAAATCTAAAAGTTGCCATCCAACCAGGGCTCCTCGGATTCTATCATTTTAAGGGCATAGCTAGTTTTAGAGATGCTGAATTTCTGGAGAACTATGCTATTTTTAATAACACTTTAAAACTCTGAAGTAGTTGAAGAAAGATTAAGGGATCATTGCAGAACCTTTATTTCAGATTTCAGCTCTGAATTTTTTTGCTATGCTCTTCAGGTTATTTTAGACACCGTTCTGATTTTACTTTCCATTGGCATTACTGAAGTTTACATTTTGTTTTGGCAAGTTTAAGATCCCATCTATTCTGTATAAACTGTTAAATGAGCTGACTACACAGTAGTCTGTGAAGTGATTAAAACAAAGTGTAAGTTCTTGTAGTGTGGGCAGACCTGAAACTTAATTATATTTTAAGCCATGCTGCAGTTTTGAAATTCAGCTTTGAAACACAGTTGAAAACATTTTGGTCTACGCTTAAGACCCACAGACATGTAGTAAAGTTAGGGACTAATGTGTTGTAGTCAATGAGATGCCACGCTGCCCTAATGCATTTTTTTTTAAGAAGACACCAGGTAGTGTGATCCAAGGAAGAGTACCTCTTGGGGAACGTGCACCAGAGTAGGTAATATAGGTAAAGAGATGGTAATGATGGGTGCATACACATATACTAACTTTCTGACAGTTAAGCCGACTTAACTTTTTAAAGTCAACTTAACTGCCAGAGCATATACACATATGTGGAGCAGAGTCGACTTAAATGCAGTGCAAGATAATACGCCTCTTGAGTC